TACTGTGCAAAATTAGGAGATGCGGTACTTGATCCATCTGATCCGTCAATTTGAGTAGACTTACAATGTTTCTCCGTTGTCATCGTCATCTTCATACCCATAAGAACTTTGAAATATATCAAACGCGATTCATGTGAAGATACAGGTAGGCGCTCACAGGACGACTGAATATGCACCGTCCTCTTGGTTTCCGTGGATGCCTGCTCGGAGAGGTGCGTGGACGCCAGCAGCAGACAATTCCGCACGATTTTCGAAAGTCGAACCAACAGGATAACCAGGAATGTGTCCGATCGTCTTTCTGTAGAATTAACTTTCAATGGGACTTTCGAAAGATATGTCTTTGAGGACGCACGGATTGTGGCGTCCAGCTCTTTCCGAAGGCTTTGTTCCCTTGAAGCTCATATCTGTGCGTGGTGTAGCCTTTTAGGACGTGGGCAGGCGTTGGAAACGACAACTGGAGAGAAAAAGTGTAATATATGCAACAAACGACTAAACAATGGAGTATCATCACGCGTGATGTGATTTTCATGTGATCTTGTGAGGTTACCAAACGGAGATGCCGACGATGTTCGTAGGTTGGGAACAGGGGAAGTCAACACCATGATCATGAAGAGTCATCAACGACTTCAACCAGCTTCACGGAACCGTTTCTAAGCCTCACCTGCGTATAAGGATTTCTATCCAGCTTTGATTCCTGTCCCACATGTCGTTCTATAACCAGAATTCGTTGACTATCAACACCACACCCTTGTCAGCACCCAACCGTCCCAACGCCCTGGACGTTGAGGTGGTCGAACCACCCACAGACTCCATCTCTTCCATATCGTTCTCGCCCGATGTTAATTTTCTAGCTGTTGCAAGCTGGGACAACGGCGTATGATCTCCATGAAGTCGTCGAGAAGACTCTAAGTGTGTTCAACAGGTTCGCATCTACCAAATTATGGCGACTGGAGGGGGATCAGAAGGAAAGGCGATGTACCAACATAATGCGCCTGTTCTAAGCGTCTGCTGGAACAAGGTATGGCCTGAATACTTCATTTTCTGAATTGTCGATCTCCAATGTGGCAACAGGATGGGAAGGTTCTCTCTGGAGGCGCAGACGGGGCGGGTCGAACGCTTGACCCTGCAACTGGTCAGGCGATTCAGATCGCTCAGCACGACGCGCCTATAAAGACAGTTAAATGGGTCGACGCACCCAATGGTGGGGTATTAGCTACGGGATCCTGGGACAAGACTATCAAGGTGTGTACCTAGTTCATCAATCTCAACCAACTTATACTTGCTTTACAGCTCTGGGACCTGCGCCAATCCAGCCCCGTTGCAACAGTCAGCTTGCCAGAACGGTGTCACACTTTCGACGTTGACTTCCCTACCATGGTTGTCGGGACCGCCGACCGAGGGATACACGTCTATGACATGAATAACCTGAAAACCCCTTACAAGGTTTGATTTTAGCCCCTCCACATCAGCCATAGGTTCATTCTATACATGTATAGTCCTCGCCCTCACCCTTGAAGTACCAAACTCGGGTTGTCAAACTCCTACAGCGCTTGAACGGTTCCACACGCTACGCCATCGGAAGCGTCGAAGGCCGTGTGGCGATCCAGTAAGCGCTTCCCTTTCTTTCCAATTAAACATATTCATCAGTCGTAAAGTTATGTTGAAGAAAGAAAGAATCCGTCGTAAGCATCATCCCGATAGACTTTTTCTTGCTTTTCCTGATGTCACGGCCGTAGGGATAATTACAGCTTTCGATGCCATCGTGTGGAGCCCGGTACCAAATCTCAAATTACCGACCAGAATACCAACCAACAAACTACCTTGATTTACCACGTCAACGACATCTCTGTTCACCCCATTCATGGAACCGTGTCAACCTCAGGTGGGTATTTATAACCACATAATACCTGGGTATAATCAAGCTTAATTTCGCCAGGTGGCGACGGCGTCACGCACATTTGGGACATCGATGCCCGGTCGCGTTTAAAGAGTGAGTGAAATCCTCCTTGCTGCAGTGCATGTGTATTTCTCCCGCCTCTGATTATCCCGCATGGCATTTTGCTGCTCATCCTTGTCACAGCCTTCGACAACATGGACGCCCCCATCATCAGTTCAGCGTTCAATCACGACGGGAGTATCTTTGCGTACGCTGTCGCGTATGACTGGCACAAAGGTCATATGGGTATGGTTCCCGGCCACCCTAACAAGGTGATGTTGCATGCATGCAAAGATGAAGAAGTCACAAAGAAGACTGGGCTTCCTCTTCGCAGGTAGTAAGTGTCGGCGTGATTGTCATCCAGCTTCCATGTTTCCTCGCTTTCTCCTCGCTTTTTCGGATCGTTGCACAGACAACGCCGCCGTGATGCTTTTGGTTTTCATCTTGTAATATTACGTGTATATAGACCACCTCGTCGTATTCGTGTATTCGTCATACCTGTGGTGGAAGTTCTCGCTGGGGTTCCGACGACCATCATCTTAATCCTATGAAGCGTCTTACTTGATATAAGGTATAACTTTATGATCAATTGCACAGTAGATACATGCATCGTACGAGAAGAGTAAGAAGTAAAAGAGGGCAAGATATACCACACGACCAGTGTCGAATGGGTAAGGGGCGATGTTTATTATTCGCCACAATGAATCATCTCCGTGTCGGCCGCTTCTTGACTTCCTCGTCTTTGCAGGCGTGCAACATCACCTTGTTGGGTTGTCCGGGGGTCATGCCGGAATGACCCTTCGACCAGTCATAGGAGACTGCGTATGCGAAGATGTTACCGTTGCGGTTGAAGGCGGTGGTGGAGATGGGGCCAGGGGCAGGCTCGAAGGCTGATTGATGATAGGTCAATATATGTTAAAGGCGCTTAACAGATGAAGGGGTAACGAACTCTTTAGCCGGGTGCGGGCATCCTTATCCCAAAAGTGGATGGTTCCGTCGGACCCTGTGGCGAACCATCGGATGAGCGAAAATAATGAACACACAGCCTGGTAGAACGCACCACAGGTAGAGAATGTTCCGTGAACTGGGTGGAATGAGATGTCGTTAACGGAATATACCAAAGCTTGATCTTTAGAGTTGGGAACATTGTCGCGGCGGTGGCATTTGAAAGAGAAGTTGTTCCTACAAGACTATGGTTAGAAAGATTACAGAGGCTAGGTGGGATTCAACTAACCCGGCGTCCTTGTCTTCGACGTATCTTAGAAAACATCAGCAAAAGCCTTCCAAGTTTTCTCAGAGATTTCGACTTACTGGATGGCAACTCTGCCCTCTACACTTCCAACTGCGAATCCACTCGTCGCAGCCGCAGTGAAACAAGAAACAACACGTGTTTGCCATTTCAGTGGAGAGACGATAGTCTGGTAATCAAAAGTTCATTCTTCCATCGCCAGACAAAGGGAGGCACGTGAGAACGAACTTTGTATGCGGTGTTGGGGTTCGTGAGATTGAATATCTGGACATGGCGTTCAGCCGTTCCAACGACCATCAGGGGGTACTGGACATCAAAAGTGTAGCACCGCTCAGGCAGATTCACGGTTGCTACTGGCGTAGGGGCACGCAAGTCCCAATACTAAATGCACGGAGATTAAAATAATCAATACAGACAGACGTAATAGAGTGCGGTAGAATGCACGCACCTTGATGGTCTTGTCCCAACTGCCCGTCGCTAGCAACCCCGACCCCGGCACGTCGACCCAGCGAACCACCTTAATTGGCTGGTCGTGTTGCGCGACTTGAGTAGCCTGACCCGTAGTCACGTCAAACATACGTCCGGCATTGTCTGCGCCGCCGGAGAAGATTTTGTTCCCATCCTTGTTCCCAAGCACGTTTTAAACACGCGGACGCGCCATACCAGGATATCGACGTACCTTGCTCCAGCATACGCTCAGTACAGGCCCTTGGTGCTGGTACATCGCCTTTCCCTGAGAAGTTCCACCCGCCATAACCTCGTAGATTCGGACCTATCACCACCTAGATGAGCGCGCGACAAGGCAGGGATGAATGATATTAACGTACACTGTTGTCCCAGCTTCCTACAGCCAAATAATCTGCTTGTGAGGAGAATGATATAGAGGAGATTGAATCGGTGGGAGGCTCAGCCAATTCGACGTCCTTGTCGGCGGCTGCATTGGTGTTTGTCGCGGCAGCTGCAGGCTGCGCCCCGAAAAACGACATGGTTTAGTTGCAAAAGAACTGGATCGTCGTCGTCGTATTGATGATTGGGAGTGGTAAGCGGGAGAGGATGAAAAGTTACCGTGGAAGTCGAAGACACCACACAAATGGCTGAGTCCAAAGTTTGAAATGTCAACAAAATGGAGATGGTACTCGGCACCGCGTGTTCTACGGTCACTCTCATTCCGTTCCTGTTTATTGGCTCCCTCTGGATTTTATTAACATCTGAAAAGCTGCCAGAGTGCTGGACAGGAGCTTGCATTGACTTGACTAGGACGACTGTTTTTTTCTTAAGCACCCATAATGGGCTCCTCAAAGTGTCAATTACCTGTGCTCAGCTTACGCGGCTCCTGAGTTCCTAGCTAGCTGAATGCATATTTCATGAGCATACAGTAGACGGGGTGTTACTCATTCTATGATCCTCCACAAACCATCAATTGATTTGGCTTGAATCTTGGCTAGAAGGTAAGGAGCTCTTGCGAAGCCCGATTGGGGATGCGTTCCTCTGCCACCAGCACTACCTTCGGAGTGGCCATGGCCATGCATAGGTACTTAAACCGCCCCACATATACAACTAAATCAAAAATATATTAGTGTGTAGTTTGCTGTCCAGTGCCTTAGGGCAAAGGAAAAATGTAACTGGTCAAGCTGGTATCTGTTGTTGGGGATTGTTCTCAGATCGTTACAGCTCTCCTTGGTCGAAGTTGTGACAACGAGTGGTCCCCTTCAAGGCCACGGAGGAAGACGGAGGAAGGATGGCCTCGTTTTCGAGGTGCCCTCGCTGAAAGAGGGTCCTGCGACCGTTGGTAAAAGGGGGAAAACATACACCTGTGGCCATTTAGTCTAGAGGTACGATACTTGCTTTGGGACACGCTTGCAAGTGGCCTGGGTTCGATTCCCAGAATGGCCCATTGGGTAGCTAATTGGTAAGATTAAAGGCCCTACTTACAGCCTAACAGGTTCTCGCTTTTTTCTACTATCCGTAGAACTGCACGGCACGATCAAGTGTCGTCAATGCATGTCAATGCAATCTCATAGGTATCCTAGATTCTCCTAGATAACACATGGTTTAAGCTGAGTCACATCTTCCGCATCCTTTCAATGGGTTGACCATTCGACCTATTTTGGGTGTACAGACATTTCCCTATTGTATGTTAAATTATTAACAATGTCCGATGTCCGCAGGCTCTGTTAGGTCCAAGTCCATGATGGAGTGATTTTATTATTACAATTGTACTACAGACAATATTGTCAGACCGGTGGTGATTGCAACAATGGATGGTCATGTATCAAAGTGATTACTGATCACCACAATGGCAACAGCAAGGACGCCTGAATCTCGCGCCTCCCGTTGGCATCCTTCCCATCGCATTGTCTACCTGGGTCGATATCGTGGTGTTATCGGGCAGCGTGCTTGCCGCCGTAATAGGTTGTGTTTCTATTTGGCCGCTTCCAACCATAACCAGAGTCCTGTTACTCAGTATACCTTTGACATTGACGAAGAGTAGTGCGGTCCTGGCTGGAAGACATTGCCTGCGCCACATGCAGCGTGATCGACCCGTTGCCGTTGACCGTGAACATATTGTTGAGCTGGAGGTAGCGCTGGCCTATGTTCATCGTGTGCGTGGAGAAGCCGCCACGGATGAGAACACCAGTAGTGTTACCAGCTGCGTCGTTCGCTGATCCAATGTAAGAGCCCTTCGGAAGGGAGGGTATTTCCTGCCTCTACGAACAAGCCGGGAGTGTTGGCCAGCATGGGTGCGTAAGTCAAGGCCAGCCATAACGAGGTCCGAACAAAACTAGCATGGTACAGTAACAAGGTTGTGAAGTCAGCATAGAAAGGGAATGGAAAGGATGCGTGTGATGACTGCGACATGCAGTACGGAAAGGCATGAAAATGGAGGTGACTCCTTGGGTACTAAGAACAGAGTCTCTTATGGGAGAGGTTACCGGTAAACGGGCCATTGGCACTGGTTCAAGTGTCATTGTAAGCGAAACATAGCCACCAATTTCTTGACCTACAAATGCGGCTTTTCGTTTTGGAGAACATGGACACAAATAGATCGCTCGTTTGTGATGGATATTTTAGAAGCCGTTTGCAGCCAAGCATTAGAGCAATACCTATATGGCACAACGTAATGTAAATTGAAACGTTTCATACCGTCCTAGGCACTCGAATGTTCTTCAAGACTAGTACAGACGTCCCCTATGGGTCACTTTGCAGCTCCCGGTGTGTGTCAAGAGTGGCATACATTACAAGCATCTTAGGGGCATGGGTGTATGGCCCGATACCTTCTAAGACTCGACCAAGTCTCGAGGCAGAGGCGTGAAATCAGGGAGTGTGGCATCATAATCCAATATGTTGAAATTGTTTTTATCATTCAAGCGTAGTCGGATTTAGCGTCATCGCACAAAAGGTTCGCTCCGATCCAGCTGGAGGAAATACATGTGATCAGTTATGGAACAGGATGGAGCATAACTGGTAGCAATTTCAAGAGTTAAGAAGGCCTTTCGGGCAGTCATTACTTGTGGCGTGTGGACTTTGGACTGAGGTAGGCAGGAGGACTGCTGAGAGCTTTTGAGGAATGTGGCAATAACCCACTTGATTATGTTTTTCCTGTATAATCCATAACTACTGGGCGGGTTAGCGTAATGGTTAACGCGTCAGTTTCCGGTGACCTGAGCTCGAACTCAGGACTCCCACGAGCTGAAGATTCCGGGTTCGAGTCCCGGGCCTGTCGCGCTTTTTCTCGTTGTGTTGGAGCCATAACTTGTGGCAGGCTTTCCTTGCCTCTTCATAAACGTCTTGAGGTCGCGGATCGAAAACATTAGCATGTCACAAGGCCGCCGAAACAGCCCCCATTTTATTAGGCGACGAGATGTTGGCTACAAATATAGGGTAGATAAAGAGAGAGATAAGACTGTATGGAAAAAGTAGGGAAAATAAACGCTCACCGTTGCGACCGAGGAGAGGAGAGGTGCAGAGCAATGGGTGGAGGTGAGACCGGATATACGATCCGCGACGCAGCATCGGTCCCAAATGGAACACTGTGCACGGATCATCCGAGAACTCGGAGATGGCAGAGGGTCTGCTGTGGAGATGGCATATAGATGCCAGGGGGGTGCCAAGGACCGACGCTGCATGCAGGGTAAGGGCAGAGGCCTCCGAAAAAGCTCCCTACCCTTGGAATCCGCTTTTATGACGACCTCTTCATAAACGTCTTGAGGTTGCAGATCAAAAACATTAGCATGTCACAAGGCCGCCAAAACGGCCCCCATTTTATTAGGTGATGAGATGTTGGCTATAAGAAGATGTGGTTATGATGGAGGAGGAGGGGTGGATGGAGGTGAAAGAAGATGGTGGCGAGGAGCATTTTGATTAATGATGTTTAAGTGCTGCCAGTTGTAAAGCAGCTCGGACTGCGGGATTGTCTCTAATGTAGATCCTCCAGGCCGATGACGACCAATGACCTAATGCCATAATGATATCCTCAGAGATTCCTAACAAAGCATAAAAGGTTGCGCCTCCAGCGCGTGTTGAGTGACCGCCAAAACATCTGTCAACAAAAGAAAAGAACATAGAGTCAAACCAGGCGCACGTCAGATGACTGCCATTTTTTCAAATGAAGAGGGTGCTACATGCACCATGCAACTTATCACGGTGTTGAATATAGGTTGCGAGGAGAATCACAGGATTGGCATCCTTTTGGGAAGTGAATAAAACATCAGTGCCTTGATAAAAGGGGTCTGTTTTGTGATATGGTAAATGATACCCTGCGTAACCATTTTCTGAGTGATAGGATGTTTGTTTTATAATTTTCCTCCAATCGATAGAGTGTTTGGTCTTGATAACAAGTTTGCCTGATCGATGGCAGCCATAAAACGCGCAAGACATGATGACCACAAATAACAAGTTGTCATAATCTGATGTTTTGTTTGCTCTGTCAACAAATGCTAGGAGGTGTCGTGTTCGTAAAGGTTCTTTGCGTTTGACAGGGTCCGCACAAACTTTTCGTGAACCTCTTATTGTGGCTTGGACCATCGAACTTGCGCAATTATTGTCAAATGATGGATACATGTCTTTGAGGAAATGACAGATTCCAGTGAGATATTTTGGGCCCGAAGCAATATAGAGCAAGGAGTAAGAGATGTATCAAGAGAGTGTTGTGGGAGTTGGTTCGAGAGCGAGATGATGTAGTTTACAGAATTGTATGTAGTCGCGGATTCCAGAGATGTAACCAGATTTTGTAGTGGGTTTGATGGCATGAGACTGAAGATGTAAAACTCTAGCATTGAGGTCTTTGAGCTTTACAGGTCGACGAGGTGCTCATGAAGAGCCCTCACCGAGCATTTTTAAAAACAATCCCTCCATTGTGCTGGCAATAGTTCTTTAGGTGGTATGAACTGGCAGACGCGGTCTTCAGGGAATTCCCAGTGATACTTGTCAAATAGAAGATGAGATAACATGTCAGCTCGAAAATTTTGCTCTCCGGGAATATGACAAACTCGCACTTCAATTCCTGTTCTGAGAACGATGCTGGCCATACCCATGAGAACAATGTTGTGCATTGCCTTAGCAGCTCCAAGTGTGTTGAACACAGACACCGAATCTAAGCTGTTGGACCATACAAGAATTCGTTTTGGAGGATGAATAAAATTTTCGACGATGTAGTTGATCCCGGATAGTATTGCCATGAGTTCTAGAAAATGTCTATGACAGGTGCATTGTCTTTTGGGTTAAGTTGATAAACAAAGCCATCATGGCCAAATGCAAAAGAGATTGTGAGCTTTAGGCTTGCATCTGTCCACATTACCAAATCTGCTTCATCATTTGACCAATGAAGTGCGTCAACAAACAGCACTCCTATAGCAGAAGGAATGGTGTCCACAAGCCAAGAAAGATCTGAAATAACCTCTCTGTTGAGAGGGATTCCAGCATTCATGATTGTTTTCCCTGCTGTCTT